ATGCAGTGATGTAACAAAACTTTACACAATAGTACAACTGTATTCCGGCTAACAATATAAATGTGCGATATGTTACTTTAATTTCGGTCGTCAAGACACGTTGTATATCATATGTGCCATGATGTAATTTTATTTTTGAAACCACAAATTAATTAAAAGCCCGGTCTTTAAAATATTTTATTGTTTAAAAAAATATTGTTCTATGTAGGTATGTTTACAAAAAACGAAAATCCATTATATTCAGTCAGTGAATAGATACAAATGAAAACTGTAAATATTTCATGAGTTTATATTATTTCTTCTTTAATAAATTACACGTTTGTGCTTTTAATCACTCAAATACCTCTTACACTGTCTTGTCTAAAATCGTAATAAATTCAAGTATTAATTATAAGGGTTTAATTTGAAAGCAAACAATTAGGTACATCTGACATTATTAATATCTATTATTAATTATATTTTGTATTCAGAGATTTATTGGATTTTGTTTATAATATTCATGTGATGATCATTGACATTCACTAAAAAAATTACAATATTTCAAACATATTATTGAAATTTAATTTTTAAATTTATTTCTAACACAAATTGCTCATTTAGGTGTATTAATATATATATAAACAAACTTAATATTGCAATTTTCATTTACCACCTATATAAATCCATATATTTTCATCGAAAAATTCTTTGTTGATGATTCTTTGCTTTGCTTTGTATATAAACAGTTAAAAAGCATGTTTAAAATTAAGTACGGTGATAGACTGATATAAATATAATTAATTTTTAATACAATTGTTTCTACCTTTTAAAAATCAACCAATCCGTATAGACTTTAATAGTGTACAAAATGCACATATTAACAACCTATACCTAATTGATATAATTATAATATAGTTTATTCACATACTAAGAATATAAATATTACAGAATAAGTTGCAAAATTGATTTTAAAAATTATACAAATTATCAATATCAACCGGTTTAAAAATTCATTAACTTATTATCAATTACATAATTCAATTGATTAATCTCTTTAATTTAAAGAGATAAATGAAAACAGACATTTAAAAAAATTCATCTTTGAATGTAGTTATGATAGAATATTCAATTAATCCTGTAAAATCTTTAAGTAAAGCATGTTCAGTAACTCTATGTTATGTGTAGAATGAAAATAATATATTAAGATAGGTATTTTATATTGATTACTATGCAAGTACCTAAAGTATTTTTTAAATAAAACGATAACTCTTATTTAATTGTTATTTAATAGTAGGTATGCATAATGATATACGCTAATGATGTAAGTACAAAGTTATCTCTAGTCTTTAATTCTACTAAGACACTTATTAAATTTATAAGTAAATAAATATACCTACAAATACTGGAGATCAATCATTTTAACACAAACAACAATGAATTGGTTGTAGATATTGTTTATTAATAAAGTAAACGTATTTAAACGATTAAAATATAATTAGGTTGTACGTTGCTTTAGTAATTACGATTTTATTATCACCACAAAAATAAATTAGTGTTTAGTTATAAAGGTAGTATTGTATTTTTATAATAATTATACTCACGAAAAAATGTCTTGAATTTTATTTTTCATCAAATAATTATTGGCTACCTACGGAAATGTTAGTAAATTAAAAATTTGCTTTAATTATTTCTTAAATATATGTTATTTACTATAAAGCACCTACAATTTATTAAAATATATGATGACATTTCTGCAAACGTAAAACATAAACGGCGTGTTCTAAATTAAATAGGTGCTTCAAAATAAATTACAGTAGTTTAAGGGAATAATCCACAGAGTTAAAAATATGGTTACCATGATTTTTTTTAATTTGACAACGATATATTACAATATTATCGGATTTAGAAAAAAAAACCTATGTGAAGCCGATTTACTGGCAAATATAAATTATATTTTCGTTGAAAAGTTTAAAACTTTTATAAAAAAAAAAAAAAAACTAGCGGGATTACCGAGATTTTTCGAGATTATTCGAAAACCTCATTCTTCAGTTGAATTTCAAACCTTACTACCTGTGTTCTTCGAGTACCTACTTAAAAGTCTATACAAAAAGTTGAAAAAAAATATTTTTCAAGTATTGAATTTCTTTATAACTTATGAATTTGAACGTAAAAAATATTATATTTGTTTGTCAAATCCATCAAACATTAAAATTTTGAAAATTTCTAAAATATATCATTAGCTAATAAATTATTCACTAGTTTCTAACTGTTTGTTAATTGAATACGTAGTACGCAAATTATAATTAAACTAAATAGCAAATCATAATATTAAGTAGGTATCTAGAAATATTTCCATCATCCAGTAAATAATTTGGAAATAATTTAGTAATAATTAGTACAGATGATAACACAATATGCGGTCCGTAAAGCTCATTAATGTTTGTGTTTCATAGTGGAAAAACAATTCATCTTTTATAAATCCTACAAAACAATTTGACAATGATAAAAACGGCTATAATTTCAATTCATTGCTAACGAATACATTTTATTTAAAACGACCATTATTTATAATTTACACGTAATTTTCAATAAGCCTTCGATTGCGAATTTACGCACATGCACACGCCATATTGTGATTTGTGATAAATATAACAATCATTTTTAACAATATATTTTACCTATTTTAATAGCTTTGTATTAATATAATATAATAGATTTAAAATTAGGTAGGTATAATAAATTTACATTCTTTAGTATCTACATTTTTTTTCAACTAGTTAATTACAATCTGATAATATTTGCATGTTTCCAAGGTATTCGTAATTCCCAAATACTTCTTTTTTATAAATATAATTAATATAATATTTAAATATTCGGCCTAAATTATAATTTTTAATTTCACATCCTATGTGTATGTCTAGTCCCAAGTAATGTACGTCACCCAAATACAATCCTGAAACTGTATGTTGTGACTTTGTGAGTGTGTTTTAAATTTAGTTTTTACTCAAATTATCTAGTCTATAAAATGACTCAAATGAAGCTAAAAAAATAAAATATGTTATTTTTGAGAGAATTTGATCGAGAAATTATAATTTACTTTTGAAAGGTGTGTAATTATTTTTATTTATTAATATTATAACTCTGAAGTAGGTATAACCAAAATTTGAACGTCGAKTGATCAGACTACCTACTAAATTTAATGATTGCAAACGATATCAAATTTAGAATATTATTAAATCACCACACTTAACATTAACAGAGTACAATTATTAAGTACTTTTTGTATATTTTGTGTAATTTTTCAAAAATCAATCAAAACATGTGGTTCTAGACATTCAGATGTATAGTAATAGGTTATAATTTATTATAATCAATAGTTATATTTCACCTACTCTGCGAGATATATGTAAAATAAAATTCCTTTAGTGGTCTTTAAAATTATATTTTAAAACATATACATAAATATTAAATATACGCACCTAGTGATTACACTGTTTCGTTTCTATTCTCAATTTTGAGATACACAAAAAAAGTAAAAATTGAATAAAGTTTGGTGCAATAAAATAAATTATTAAAAATTTGGAATGCATTAAATGCAAAAGTAATGTAATATTTCAAAATCTTATAATATTAAAGAATAATTCAAAGTAACGTAAAATATTGAATTTCAACGTACAATTATGAAAACATATTAATTTTTGATAACTTMAAAAATAATTATTTTTAAGCCCAAATCTAACATTAAAATATGTGCTCAATAATTGTCTACTGTAAAATGTTGTCATTTATGAAAATGAGACGAAGAAAAAAAATTAGTACCAGAGTTAAAAAATTCTGAAATATATGTCCACTTTAAGTATATTAACCCACTACACTTATCGTGTGCCCAAAAAATGGACCTTATATGCAATATTAAGATATAAATATAAAGAGCGTTTATATAATCTCTTAGCTTTCAAAACATTGTTTCGTTAAGAAATTTAAATATCAATAACCTGTAAAAACATTTTTTTTAATGTGCTCACTACATAGCTTATGAACTTATAATATCGTGTATGTAAATATACGTAACGTATTATTATTAGACATAAACTATCTTATAAAATAATTGAGTATGTGTTCAAATATTATTAAAATGCTTGAATATGAATTTTAAACACTTTTGAAAAAATAACTGTATTACAAATTATACACATTTTCAGTTCTTATTAATTTTATATTTTCGGAAAATTATTAATCCAAGACCAATTCTAATATAATTATTATGGTATAAATAATATATTTTTAATGGGTCTTTGAACCAGGGCTTGAAACTGATTTTTTTTTACTTCGATTTCGGTTTCAGTTTCGATAGCGATTTCGATTTTTAACGATATTTAAAATCTGTATCCACAATATCGGTTTCAAATCCTGCAGATTGAACCCATCCGAATATTCAAACACCCCGAAAAATAAAACCTATCATGAGTAATATGTTTTATACAGTTACATAAAATGATGTACTTGGAAAATGTTGTACATAATTAATGATGAACATGAAAAAAAAAATTATTAGGTTCAGTTGATTTAAATTTAAATCACGAAAATAAGGTAAAACAAAAAAAAATTAAAGTAGATACTTATATGCATATGGTATGTCACAGAATCCATCGTAAATATTAAGTGGCTGTAAATTACTTTTCGATTTTTTAATCAAATGACTTTTTTTACCGAATTAGATAGGTAATTAAAATGCGTACTTTGGATACTTTTCAAAATGCGAGTATAGCCGTATCTATACTGGATACTCGTGATGAGTGTAAACTGTAAATATGTCTACACAATTTTATTGTTGTTGTTGTTATTTATTATAACAATATTATTATTTTTGTTAATAGGCCTATTGTCACAAATAACGCGTATAATTGCTGCGGTGCGCTAACGGGTTACGAAGACCTGTAGAACGCGTCTTGTGGCGGCAATTTATAAACCATTGTTATTTATTATTTTTATAATTATTATTGTTATAATTTTATACTCACGAATTTACAAAGGTTGCGGGACCCGCGACGGCGTCGTCGGAGGCGACTTGGCGCGTGCGTTTAATACTTAGTCGTTTGTGTGTGTGCGTGTGTCTGTAGTGTGTGCGAGAGCGAATTGAAAGAAAAAATTCTTTCTCGACAAGATAAAAATTTATGGTCTACGACGTTGGGGGGAACCCGAAAGCGCCGGGCGGATACGACTCTCTTGTAGTCGTCGGTGTGTTCGTCAACGGCGGCGTCGCGCGCGTGTCGGAGCGCAAGGGCCGATTGAGTGACGCGGCGGACGCCGTGCGACTACAACACGCGCTCGTCAGACACGCCGCGCCCCCCGCCCACGCCTCCGTGGCAGCCTCGACCGCCGCCGCCGGCGCGCCGACGACCGTCACAATAATAATAGACAGTACGCCGCCGCCGGTCGCGCGCGCACGCGGTTTCCGACGCCGGCCGCCACGCGGTTCGTCGCCAACGACGCCGCCGCCACCGCCGCCACTGTCTCGTCGGCGTTCGACGGGGATTTCCCAGCAGACCGTCCCGCAGTCGTAACCGCGAGCCAGACGTCGCCGGGCACGACTGCGCCGACGAGAGAGTGGCTGGCACGCGTGTTTTTCTCGCCACGAGGGATGACGATAATATAGGAATGATAACGTTAGACGACGATATCAATTTTATTGTATTAATAAACTCAACTAATTTCAGCCAATATTCATATTTGGTAACCATCAATAATAATTATTCACAGAAATATACAGCGTGATTCTCCAAGCACGCTCACCTTAAACGATGGAGTTATTCAAATTCTGATTTTTCAAATTTTTAGATATACCTACCCAGACAATTTTTTCGTGCTATTTCATTAGTATCGCGTGGCGAGAAAAAAAGTTTGTTTTTCAAATGAGAACTCCTTTTCTCATTGTAGATTTTATAGTACATAATTCTTTTTTTGAAATTTCCCTGATTCTAGACAAAAGTTTCTTAGTTATTAAAACGTTAGCGATAAAGATAATAGTCCTTAAAATAAGTTTTAGAGAATTATAAAATAGACGTTATATTATGACTAGGATTTATTATACCTGAGAAATTTGTACAAATCACTAATTTTATTAGATTAATAAATTAATAATAATTTCAAATCACTGTTACTATTATGTACATTTTATGTTTAGAATACAAAGTTAAATAACTCAAAATTTACTCTTACCAATTATGATTCTGACACGTTAATTTTGAAAATAATACATTTCAATTGCATTATTGAAAAAAAAAGAAGTGAGCATGCTTGGTATCATCTGAGCAGTACGAAATTTTCAGGCGCTATTTTTTTATTTTTCCATTCAGTCAACATATTGTACCCACAATATATAAAAAAAAAAAAAAGTTGTCGATAAAATTAATTTTATACGCACCTTATGATATTGTGCTCGTATACTACTCGATTGTGAATATAATTGAGAAACATTGATCATTTATCACTACATCCCTCATTATCATCCCTCAATAAATATAACATTTCAATTCGTTGTTTCTTGATCAGTCTTCGACATGTGATAATAATTAATAACTTAATTACGAAATTACAAAAAAATTTTCTATCAATTTCATTATTATAAAAATCTCACTTCAATACCTATACTAAATACTAGGGATGGGCATGAAATCTAAATATCTGAATTACCCGAATATTCGGAAATCCAAATCCAGATTTGAATCAAATTTTTATCTGGATTTCCCGAATTATCAGGATTTATGGATTTACTTTTTATGTGACTTTAGACTTACAATTATTTTTAATGTATGATAAAATAAATTATTTTATTTAATTTTAATGAAAATTTAACAATAATAATTAATACTTAAGTTTCATGATATAATTGAACAGCAAAATCAATTTGAATAATCCAGATACTCCAGATAATCCGTGAAATTTGGATTTGACAAATCCTAATAATTCGGATTTTTGAAATCCGGAAATACTCACCACTGCTAAATACTTAAATACTTGGTAAGATCGCAAAAGCATTTTTAAATGAAAGTGCCGCAGATGCCACTATTCACCCACTACTCCTTGAGCTTTTTTTAGTTTAAGTTTGGTTTTTCACGTTAAAATTAAGTAAACACACAAACATATGGGATAGAATAATAGTTAATATTATTGAAATTTATATAATAACATATCGTTTGCCCCTCCCCCAAATATTCGAAAAACCATAAACGAATTTTGCAGATATTTTGCATGAAATCCACACGGATTCAACGCCTAGTTCAAAAATGACCCTCCCCCAAAATAGAAATGTATAAAGGGAAGGTAGCAATATGACTCATCAGCTACTCTCTTAGTAAAAATGAAAATGTTTGGATTTTTTTTTAAAAATAAGTAGCAAACAATTGCATGAACTTGCAATGATCTTAAAAAATATATTAATATATATATAGGTATAAAATCAAATCATAGAACATTCAAAAATATAAAAATAAATATTTTGCAAATTAGTTTCAAATAATTGCTAATTGATCATCAAAAGTTGAAAACGAGTCATTAAAATTATTTAAGCTTAAAATTAATGAGGGGGGGGGGGGCTAACTTAAAGCAGAAAATATGGCAACGTTTTGAAAGCTAATTGGAAATTGGTTTTTAATAAGTACCTATAAATAGTATTTACAAAAAAAATCAAAAATTAGATTTTAAATTTTTTTTATTCGACTTGGGAATAATTTACCATTGAAACAAAGTCGAATAAAAACAGTCCATTTAAGTAAATCAGGAAAGTTCAAAAAAAGATAATTCATAAAAAAATCCCAAGTTAAATATGAAATCCAAAATCTAAATTCTTCATTCAGTACCTATAGATTTGTTATTAAATTAGGACTTTTTTATTCAGTTTTATATTTTTGTTCAATTTGATTTTAAATTTGATTTATTTATTTAAAACTAAATTTCAATCAATTTTCAAGAAGTTATATTTTTCTTTTCAAATCGATCGGAAAAAGTCAGGGACAGACAAAAAAAAATTTGGAAAAAAATAAATAATAATTGATTTGTAAATTCTAAAAATCTATTTGCAATTTGTAATAAATTTTTGTAAAAAATTATGACATATTTTTTTAATAGGTCGGACAAAGGATCTGCGTAAAGTTTGTTCCCTAGCTGTAATGGTTTGTTGCTTAGATTATTTTAATGACAACAAATTCTGAAAATCAATATACAATCAATTTGTAAAATGTCGACAAATTTTTCAAATTTTCCATGAATATTTGTGTAATACTTATTATAACATGATTTTTTTTTCCTGGTTGGAAAGATGGGAGAAGGAGATTCGGGTGAATTTAAAAACTAAACTTGCAAATTCGTGTAAATTGTATGCTAAATATCTGTAACAAAGATCCTAATAATGTACATTTTTACAATGAGGGATGGGGAGCTGGCGAGACGTGTTGCTACTTTCTTCCTCCCATGAATTCAATTTTGTTGGGAGGAAAGGAGGGCTGCATGAATTTAAAAACTAGGTTAGCGAATTCGTGAAAAACACGTAATAAATGTCTGCATTATTTGTGGTCATGTATGGTAGTATAATGGTCCATTAGTTTAACTACAACATTTAAATCAAATACATATAAAAAAATCTAAAGAATAACCCAGGCCATGATGGATCTATAGAATCTTCAATGAGTAATTTTGGGAGTAGACAATTGAGAACAACAAGTGATTGAGATGGACAGATGGAGATGATTGGTGGTAGCAGTAATATTGGGTACTTAGAGGGTGTTATCCATTTGCACCAAACAAAAAAAAAATCCTTATTGGGTATCATTGTATTATTTATATTTGTGCCAAATTTACCTGCCTAAATATTTTAGTGCACACTTCGAGAAACACTTACTTTAAATTATTTATACTTACATAATAATGAATTTGTAATATTTAAATTATTTATTTGTATTGATTAGTTTTATACGTATAGGCATTTTGCATTATCCAGAGAGTACCACAAGGAGGCGACTTCTATTATTCTCCAAAAATGTATTGTGTTTTTGTACAGTTTTTGTAAATTAACATAATTTATTATAAGTGTAAGTTTTTATCAAATGTACAAATCGTTAAAATGTTTATGGTATAATATTAAATAGAATAGTTAAATGACATTTATTTGATAAAAACATACCGTTCAATTGTTCCTGCTTTAAATTTTTGTATTTTTTTCGATGTCGATCTATAAATTTTTTATCCTTGGACACCTTTGTAAATGCACACTATTTAATTTAATGTAGACTTAAGTTTAAATTTCATGAACAACACTTAACCAGATACTAATTAGTGGAGAAATAGGATTAAAACTTTTGTTAAAAAAAAATATGAAAATATTCACACGTTTTAATTGTTCTTATTAATGCCGATGTATTAGATGCAAAAATACTCTGTGGAGATAAATCTTCAGATAGTACATAAGTATTGGTTAAATAGTCACAGTAATTTGTTAATTTGTCATTTACTGGGCAGTCAGATAGCAGGTCTTCAACAAAACAATTTGATACATTATCTGATTTTAAAAATACTAAACCAAATATATATCGTTTCCACTTACCAATTCTGAAAATTCTTCTTTATAGAAAGAAGTTAAACAACACTTTTGAATATTTCTCCATCATGTTTGAGTTTAATGAAATGAGTTAGATAAATTGATTAAGCTACTATCGTGTCGATTGATCAACTATGTACTATACGATTCTATATCGATTAAAAAATTGTGCCGTTAACAATATTTATTAGGTAGCAGATGTTCATTTTGAATAAGGTTTTAACGTTAAAAGAAGGCTTAAACGATACATTTTTTTTAAAATTTATGTGTTGGTAGTCGTCTTTATAACTTTTAACCTGATCTAACCTTGAAGTGGCTACACTGCCATTTAAATCATTTTATACTTATTAATAAATTGTTCTTTTCTTTTTGGAGGCACATGAAAATATTATTTTATAGGTATTTACACGTCATACGTATCAAGATTCACGATTAAAGATAAACTATTTCAAAAATATTTAAATTATTAGTATTTAAAATGTAGGTTAAATAGTTTCTATAATTAGTACGTGAGTAGTTTCAAAATTAAGTATTTTCATTTTATATTATATATATTTTTTTTTATATATATTATAATATTATTATTATTATAATATATTGTAATAAGAAATAAATTCAAATAATCCTACCTACATCTATTGCCATTTACATCACATTATCATAATATTGTATAATAGATCGTTTTAACT